AACAAAAAAAGAAACACATGTCTTTTGCAGCAACTTGGATGGAGCTGGAAAAGATCATGCTTAGTGAGATAAGCCAGAAAGAGAAAGAAAAAAAAAATATCAGATGGTTTCACTCATAGCAGGAGTATAAGGGACCAGGCAAGAAAATAATAATGAACAGCCATATACCAGAGACATTTTCCAGAGACATTTTGTCGGGGTGGAGTGGGGAATGGGACCAAAAACAGGGGGGTGGGGAGGGAAGTGCATGGGACTATGGTGATGGCACACGGGTGACTCGGTGATGGGAAACCCACGGGGATTATAATTGAGATGGAAAAAAAAGTACAAAATGATGTAAAAATAAACTACTATATTATAAAAAAAAAAAAGTTACTAGTCAGCCCTTAGTATTTTCAAAATGTTTCAATCATTTCTGGAATTACTGCAGTCATTTATTATTTTTATTTTCTTAGTAAGTCTTCTTGGTGAACTGGATTTTCAATATGCAGTATGTACGTTTTTACCTCTAGTAATTTTGTTTTAACATCTATTTTATCTGATAATAGCATAACTGAGTCTTCTCTTCATTTCTTATTTTTTATTTTAACTCTTGTATTACTTGGATAATCACATTTCAAGTACAAATGTATTTTATATCCGATTTGAGCATTTTTTCACTGGATAGATATCTCTACTTGTTTTTCCACTTGTTTTTTCTGTTGTTATTGTTCTTTTACTTTTCATTGATATCTCTTTCTTCCCTCCAACAAAACAAAATTTTAATATGTCTCCTCAAGCTCTCTAGTCTTGTCCCAATCCCACTGTGTTGATTTCATAAAAAAAAAAAAAAAAAGCACAAGTCAGGAGGAGATGAAGTAAGTTAATTTTTTCTAATAAAGCGGCTGCCTTTAGCTTATAGAAAATAACACAAGTCACTGTGAATAAAAAAAAAAAACATAAAAAAAAAAAAAAAAAAAAAAAAAACTTTTGAATATAATTGCCATTCTTTATTTTCTTTGGTCTTATTTTTTATTTACTATTTTTAAGTCACCAACAAGCTTTCCCTAAGTATCTGATCACTTGCTTACTTTTCTTCCCAAATTTCTCATAGCATTTCCTGGGTTTCTCTTTTTCATTACATACTTTCTCCAAGCATTTTTGATTTTTGTGTTATGTTGAGGAAATCTAAAATTTGCAAAGTCTGAGAAAATTTGTTATTATATCCTCACAAAGGAAGAAAATATCATAAAAATGCTAGATTCAAAGTTATTTTCATCTTCAATTTCAGACTATGAGCTGAGTCTGGTAATGATGTTTCCTGCCACACCATACTACTTTCAAATGCACTGTCTGTGCATGCCCACCCATCACAGTGACTAATCTACAGGTGAGCTTGACCAAATCTTTCAGACAGGACTGAAAACACCACCACCTTCAGAAAACCAACTCTCTCATACACTGTTGCTGGAATAGAAATAGGTAGGTTCAACTTTCCTAGAAGGCAATTTGGCAAAGCAGATAAAAATATTTAAAATCATTATACTTCTAGGCATCTCCATGAAGGAAATAACCCAAATGATGTTCAAAAAATATGCATGAGAATACTCATGAGAGTATTAAAAAGAAAAAATTAAATAAACTAATCTCCAAACACAGTTAAATTATGTTAACGTCCTATAATAAAACCTTATAGTGAGCAATTTATGTAAAAAATTTTTATGTTAAAAAAAGAAAGTTCTGTTTTTGTTTCAGACATATGCAATATGCATATGTAGGTAGAAAATACCTGAAAGTTGAAAGACTATTCTAAAATATTTAATAGTAGCTTTCTCTAGATGGAGAGGTTAAAGAATAATTTCTCATTTCTTTTTTGTTTTCTGTATTTAACACATTGCTACCATGAACCTCCTTATCTTAATAAATAATTTTAAGTTTCTCTACATTATGTCAGTTTTACAATCTAGAACTTATTTAAGTGGTGTTATAAGTGGTGTATAATTTGCATATGTCATTTGCTTTAAGCTCCCTAAAGCACACATCAAACTCCTTGTTTTTATCTCTTTATAGGTAGGATTATCCCTCAAGATATTCAAGAATCCATCTCCAGGATAAGATGTGACTGTTTTCTAGTACATTGAATGAAACCCCACAATAAAGGGATTCTTTAAATTAGAACAAACACTAACTTTACATTTTTTAGCAGCAGAAGTCTTTCTTTATATAAACTCTTTTTGGGGCCCCATATATAAACTCTGTTTTGGGACAAAAACAGAGCCGCTCTATCGGGGAGACAGAGGCTGGTTTAGTTGGCTCAGGCTTCTTTGCCTCTCATAGGCTACTGTGCAGTTTGAAAAATACAACACAATACATTCCGCCAAGCCTGTATTAATGCCAGACCTAGAAGAGAAAGCAAAACCACACTCAATCTAACATTTATTTATTGTCTTATTTTTTTTGCAACTATAAATTACAATCACTGTAATTCTTTATAGTGTGTTCAACTAAAGAATAAGCAAACACGGCATAATCACAGTACTCAGTGTAATTTGCAAAAGAGGGAAAAGTCTTGGGCCCAACTCCTTAGAAATAAATATCAAGTAACCACAAAAATAGTCAGCCATTTTCCAGTTATTCAGGGAGATTCATGCATGGTCCCAGGCAGAAAATCAAAGTTCCTCTTTGAAATATCCCAGCTTTGCCAATGACATCTCTTTTCTCAACTGCATAACTTCCCAAAACATCTGATCAACTAAACAAAAAAGAGACACATAAATCATAAAATAGCACCTTAATTATTTTTAATCTATTTCATTGAATATTTAAGCTTAGCTGAATGCAAACTGGTCAGTATCTAAGAATGTACTTAAAGCCTAACTGTATCACATAAACCTGTTCCCAGCTTTTTCAAAAAACAGGCAATACCTACCACTTTCACCACAGCTGTGTGTCTTATACATCAATGACTGTCACTTTAGCCCAAAAGAAGGTAGACATTTCAGTTTCCTAAAGGATAGCACTGTTGTCTTCATAAGTAATTATGCTCAATGCTTCATTATTCAAGAGTTGTTAATCTAATTTATGGATCTTCTTGTGCTAAATTGCTATATCATAGCCACTTCACTCTTCAATAAAACTAACACAGTGTGAAAAGGAAAACGTGAAAAAAAAAAACAGAAAACTCAGCAACAGTCTTTGTGAGAATAGAAAAGGCTTTGTGTATGGTTCAAATTAGAAATAAAAATATATATAGCACATGATCTGTATATTTCAAATATCTCTACTTTAATGAGTTCCCACTAAAAAGTTGGTTGTGTATTTCACCTAGTAAGAGAGCTCCCTCTGACATTAGATCAAAGTAGATTGAGCCAGACCAGTGGTTCTCAACCAGGAACATTAGGTCTCCAAGGGATCATGTGGCATTTATGGATACATTTTTCATTACAGGACAGGGATGATATTAAATATCCTATTGTGTACAAGATCATTCCCTACGACAAAGAATTACTGAGGTGTTTAAGAGCTAGAAACTGAAAGTTATAATATAAATAAGTCACTAGCATGCACAGCATGGTGACTCCCATGCACATTTGAATGCTGCCAAGAGTAAATCTTTACTTTTTCATTGCAAGAAAAAAGTGTAAGTCTGTATGATGACAGGTGGTAAGCAGACTTATTTTGGAGATCGTCTGCCAGTATACATACAAATATCAAATCATGATGTTGGACACCTGGAACTAATATAAAGGTACAAGTCATTTATATCTCAATTTAAAAAACATATTTAAATCAAAATGTGAATAGTACCAAAATGTGAACTTGCTTTGGATTTAGTTATACCTTTTGAGCACAAAGTATGGTAATAAACAGTTTTAATTAATATTTAATTACTTCAAACCCACACACTATATGTCTACTAAATAATGTCACCTGGAGGCATGATGGAAGCCAGAGACAGTATCACTTTTCATCATCATCATGCAGATACTTCATGAAAATAGGAAATAAAGTCATCCCTATGGAAACTCATTTTGTCCAGAAGGGAAAAAGTATGCTTGACAACTTAAATCAACTGTTCTCCAGTTTTAACCAATTGCCTATCAATGGGTATTCAAAAAGATTTTAATTCTCTTTCGTCATAAAGAATATCTTATATATATGATACATAGAGAGAGTGAGACTACTTGATGCTATGTGGCCTTTTGAAATTCAACATTGGAAGTTTCATCCCATTCTTTTAGGTATTAAAGTCTAATTATATTGAAATATTCCCAAGAGCTTAAGAAATACTAAAGTTTTTACTGCATGACTAATTTTCCATACAATTAAGATTCACTGGTTTACATAATTAAAAGATGGTAGGCATCTAACAGTTTTTGATATAAGAATATTTTCAGTTCCTAAAATAACAAACAAGAAAATTTCCCATTTCAAATTTGAAACTGGCATGGACTAATCCTGAATGTCATTTCTGGTTTAATACATTACATGGACTCAAGACACACTGCTTTGGAGCTATCAGGTTATATTAGCTTTTAAGACTGGTGTTTAAGATGTTGACTATATTTAAAATATTAAAACAGTTGAACTGAGGTTGGTTCCTTTGGATATACCACCTGTATGGCTCTGCTGATTTAAAGTATAGTCCTCTTGGGCCCCTCCCCCCCCCCAGTGGCCTATGGTTAAAGTCTCGGCGCTATCACTTCTATGGCCTGAGTTCAACCCCCCCCACACACACACACAAGGCATGGCAGACCTCTCCTGTCTCACCTGTTGCTCCACTCAGCAGTTTATTTTAGTGATCCTCTTGTTCTGCTCCTCACTATGTCTCTGGTGAATCCTCTCACCCTGCACCTCTGGCCTACACCCTTTTCTTCTATGCAAAAATAAAAATGCACAGTCCTCATAATTTCATTCTGAATTCACCTGACTGCTTTATTAATTAATTTACATGTTAAAGTATAAAAAAAAAAGTTTAGGTAGGTCTTGTGATTTACACCATTAAATAAATCTGAGCACATCTAGAATTTGCTCATATTTATTTTTAAGACTAAATTCCATAGTTTTGTACTTTCCTTACATTTAGCATGTGATTTATCATTTATCCATTAAGAATTTAAATTGGCCTTGCTTAAAATCCAAAATTAGAGAAAATGAGGATATATCTAGTTATGTCTTTAAAGGATTACATGGGGCTTTTTTGTTTGTTTTTATTTATGCTTACAGAACTGGGGTACAGGCCAGAGGTGTGGTGGGTTAAGAGGATTCCCCAGAGACAGAATGGGGTACAGAATAGGCAGATCTATTGTAGTACACTGCTGAAGAGAACAGCAGGTCAGGAAAGGTCTGCCATGCCATGTGGGTCAGCTCCCTTGCCAGGGATCGAATTTGTGCTGAGGTGGCTTCAGAGAGCTTCATAGTGCAGCACTTTAACCTGTTGCACCATCAGGGAGAGCCCAGATTACATGTTTTTAAAGAGACTTGTTGCCACATTTTCCACATAACAACATAAAAGTGCTTCAATTTAAATGTACTAGTAAGAAAGTTTATTTGACCATTACTATGCTCTATATTTTCTTACTGAACTTTTATATGAACATTTTATAACAAATTAAGAACACTCACCATCCTGCTGCTTTACAAGTCCCTGCTGAATATATCGAATGTATGTAAAAAAGTTACACACAGAAGTGATCTAGGCCAAAAGGAAAAATATGTCACAAATAAATGTCTCATCTCAAAATGAGCTGTAATAAAATTTATGGTGAAGTTACTTACCCTGTACCTGCAAAAAGGAGAAATGTAATAATAGTTGCTTGAGTCCCCTAATTTAATTCTGTGTTTACAGGACTTACTCTGGCCAGTAAGTGCACATTTTCTGTAAAATAATAATAAATTTTAGCTTTTTTAGCTTTTTAAAATTAAATCCATTCCCCCCTTACCCTCTGTCCAATTGCACATTCATTAAGACAACAAATGCTTGAAAACCTACTATATCCTAGATATTCTAGATGCTAGGCTACAGTCATGAAAAAGACAAAGACCCTGACCTACTGGGACTAGCATTCTAATAGAAGCTTAATACTATAACATTAAGAATGGGTCTAGAAATAGCAACTCGATATTCTAAATATATGTCCTTTTCTGGTGCAAATTTACAGTGGAGTCATCAGCTGCAGGACAGTTCTCAGCTTGCCACCTCTCAGCTTAAAGGCCACCTAAAGATAACTGGTCAAGTCTCAAAACACATTATTGATAAACTGTAGGATACCAGCTTCCAGATGGCACACTTGGTGCGTTTGACTAGTTAATATGCACATAATTTAATGTGGCACCAAGGCCTGAGAACAGAGAGGATGAAGCCACCATACAAAATTACTGAATCTTAACAACTATGTAAAGATGGTACTACATTTAAACAAACATCCTCCCTATGCTATAGATCCAAAATTTGTCATGAGGGCTTCCTGGCTGCCATTTAGCTGTACATCTCTTGAGGACAGAGAATGTGTCTTACTCATCTTTTTAATGCCTGGCAGCAAGCAAGGGCCTGGCACACAGCAGAAAATGACAGCAAAGGATGAGCCTCTCCTGTCTGCTGATTATGATACAGATGTACCTTCAAGTTAAGAAAACACATTAAGAGTATGTATTCTAAAAAAAATTAAATTTGGAGGTGGCCACTGAAATCAGAACAGAATTCTTATCTTTTCAAAGAGACTTTGGTCACTGTTCCTTTATTAGCAAATTCTTTTAAGAGCAGTCCCTGATCACCACCAATGGAATGGTTTGGTCTTCCTCAAAAGTCCCCTAGCCTCAACCATTCATGTAGTGATTATCTCGTCTATGAGGGCCTAGGCCAGGCCCATACTTCACATCCCATAAAAAAGAACTATCTTGCATAAGTTTTTTCCAAATAATAATATGCATTACAAACACCTGGGCTTCAATCCCAGTCCCACAAGTACAATATCCTTTTACTATGTAAATTGTTTGCTAAACCTAATCTATAAACTTATTTTACTAAAATACTATGTAAACCACTTAAACTGATTTCATTACTTGATATTTCCACATGTTTGTACATGTGGGTGGAAAAGCTTGTCTTGCTATGAAATGTGGGATTTTACTTCTGAAAGTTTGTAATTGCCAAACATCTCCCACATATGGAAGACAAACCATTTACCAAGGTAAGTAATCCTTTATATACAGCAGAAGACTTATTAAGTCTTTTTGGTGCCCTGTTCTCATGATTGATAACATTTGGTCTAATTTCACTGTCTGCTCCACCTTATTCTGATGGCAACCCTCAGACAGAAATATTCTACTTAGAAACCAAGTGTATACTACTATACAGGTATGTGAAACAAACAGAAACTCTATTCATGACCCACTAAGCTAATTTCACGATCCATTAATAGGTCACAATAGTATGGTTAAAAAGTGTAATACCATGTATTAAAAAATACATGGTATATGTAGTTTACCTGGGGAGTTAAAATACCTACCTACCTACACACACACACACACACACACACACACACACACACACACACACACACACACATAGTCCTTTGATGCTAGATTTAAAATACTATGTCCCACACTATCTTTTAACAAGAACATTTCACAAGACAGTAGCATGTGCTTCCTTCAGGATCCGCATACTGCCTTTTCTTTTCTGTGATATTAATACTGCCTAGTCCAGTAGTTCATTAAGGTTCTAAAACAATGGTTAGAAAAATAACTGCAACACATAAAAATTTTAAAGCTCAGTATTGTCTAGAAGACATAGTTTTGAATACATACTTTGGTCCTCCACATTCAACTGCAGAAGCTTTCACAAATCTAATAGGTTGTAATCCCACTGGTTCAATGCTTAGAGTATTGTTTTCCACAGCCTCCAGGACAGCTGAAGCCAACTTAATAAAAAAAAAAAAAAAAAAAATTAGGCACTATCCAGGAAGAAATATATCAAAATTTGTTCTACAAAACACTCCTTTTTAAAAATTATTTTTTCCCCAAGTTCCACTAGTTTGGCCTTAACCAATAAAAAAAGAATGAAATCACAAAATCTTGGTTTGAATTCTTTTATAATTCAAGCATTTTAAAAACACAATTCTGTCTAGTTAAATACGTTTTCTGATTATCTGTAAGAAGATTAAAGGCATTAATTCTGGTTTCTATTCACCCCTTACTCACACTTTGCATTGAATGTTAATGTAACTTCAAAATAAATATCCTAATGCTTTATTTTGCCACACAAATATGATTTTTTTAGTATTGATGATATGAACTCTTATGCTCACTGCAGCATTATTCCCAATAGCCAAGATACTGAAACAACCTAAATGCCTATAGAAGAACTGAGTACATAAAGAAAATGTGGCATAAATTCACATGGAAGGAAAAATGACATTTTGCCATTTCTGACATGGATGGGTACTGAGATTATGCTACAGGAAATTAGTCAAACGGAGAAAGAAATGCTATGTGATTTCACTTATGTGTGGAAGAAAACAGAAAGCAAATGAACAAAAAAAAAAACAAAATACATACCCCTAGATTCTGACAACAGAAGGGTAACTCCAGAAGCAATAAAGGGTTGAGGGGTAGATGGATCAGGTAAAGGGGGTCAAATTTACGTGCTGGCCACTAGACTTCTGGTGGAGATCATGATGGAACAGATACAGATGTCACACTAAAAAGCTATACATACCTGAAACCTATTATAAACCAGTTTCTTGAATTTAAAAACGTGTGTATGCACACACATGTGTACACATATGTATTACCTACATACACATATGTGAACTCATATATAAACACAAACACATATATATTAATCAACAATATGTACTGATTATAGTTCTATATTTTCTGAACTGGTATTATGTGCACAAGAGTCTACAGAAGAATTAACTGAATTATCAAATATAATGTCCACATGGAGTGAGTACCATATGGTAAGCAATAGCTAAAATAAGCAAACTCTTCAATCTGACAAGATTACTAATATAATAGCCTACCTAAAACCAGGCCCGAGTCATAGTGAGTAAACAATCTATATATAAAAAGTTCTGCTGTTCAAATGAACTTCTTACAAATAATCATTAAATACTCTAAAGACTAAGCATAAGACTCTTGGGGTTAATTTTGTTAAACAATGAGTGACAAGATATTTAGAGACAAGCTTTTCACAAGTAAGAACAAACTAAAATTATGATCTTACATTTGTGTTGTGCTTCAGTTTTGTTTGTTTGTTTTGAAGTTTTAGTTTTATTCATTTTATTCTCTTAACCCCATGGCAAAAGCAAGGAAGGCATTTTTCCTATTTTAAAAATGAGTATCAATTTTTGTCATTGTAAAATAAGCCCAACAAACACATCAAAATGTATAGAATCATCCAAAACTAATTATTCTGAACCTTGAACTGAGCATTAAGAATCAGTCGAGTCCTGGCCCTCCGTGGTGGTGCAGTGGGTTAAAGCAAAGCACTAAGAAGCTAAAGCCACTTCAGCATGAGTTCCATCCCTGGCCCCGGAGGTGACCCACATGGTGCAGCAGACCTCTCCTGACCAGCCCTGCTCCCCTCAGTAGTGTACTTCATCAATCAACCTGTTCTGTTCCCAACTCTGTCTCTGATGATTCCTCTCACCTATACTTCTATACCTCTGGCCTGTACCCCAGCTCTGTATGCATAAATAAATAAATCATTAAAAAAAAAAGAGTAAGTCTTATCCCTAATACATAATATTTCACTCCAATGCAATATACACAGCAATGTAAATGATACTCTGTTCAAATAAGAGGAGATATTCAGTAACTGAAAGTGAAGAAATTATTAACCCCAATATGGAATGGAAAAAAGGTCAAATATGACACTTTATAATAATTACCTAAGCCATATTAAGATATTTAACATCATTTAGTGAAAAGTACAGGAACAAATCTAATGCATTCCCCTACTGATGGCATTTTTTTAATTACCTCACTTTTTGAGAACGTTAAACATGGAAAGATATCTTCCTGATAGATTTTGTCTAAGAAAGGACATGTTCTGTCCATTGTGGGTTCATCCTTCCAAGATCTGAATTCATTATAGAGAGATAAGTCAGCCTGAGAAACAAACCAAGAGAAAACAATTTTTTTAAAAGTACAAACACGTCACTTTATAAAACAAAACTTAATTTAAGCATTACTAAAAAAGGAATACTCTACATTTAAAATAATGAATTGAAACATATTTCATTAATCAGGACACATGGCAGTGATGTTATTTTAAATATACAATTCTCAAATAACCAATCAGCCCCTTTCAATGGTGCCCAGAGGCACAACTACCATCCCAATACTCCTCACAAAATGTTGACAATGGCTCATGACACATATACACACTGCTGTAAGAATAAACAATGATGACAAGCTTTACTAAAATAATCAAAAAGGTAATTTGAAGCTAAAGTGTTTCAAAAAATTGAAATTGGCTAATTTGTAAAATCTAATCTTAAGTAAAAATGGCACTAACTGTCCTATTACCTGAATGCATTTCCAATTTGTTTACTGTAGAAGCAGCAATATTAAAAGAAGCAAATAGACTTCTAAATTGACTGTCATGAAATATAACATTTATTTACATATTTTTTGGTATATCAACTACAATGCAAATTATCAACAATAATCCAGGCTGATACCTGCCTTCTTATTCTATTCATTCTTCCAAATGTCCTTTAAGAAATTTTCCCTCTCAGATTCTCAGATATCTTCAGATAGTTCAATACCATCTGTCAACATTCAAAGCTGCACCAAGCCACCCACAGAGCAATGCCCCTCAGCCTGCTACAGCTCTCAGCCACTCTTGTCCAGAAACACTACACACACTATAAACAGTCATTACAGCCAAAACCTCTAGGACAGCTTAACCAGATGTGCAGGTAAATTCACAGCAAATTCACAGAAAGCTGAGCATATCCAAATGTTCCTACAGGCTTTCTTTTGAAGTACAGAAAAAGTAATCTCAGTATATTTTTCCCATCTCAATCCATAAATTCTTTGAATCATGCTAACAGCAAAAGAATATAAATATCAGCAGATAAGTAACATTAATATTTTCAAATTCATTTTCTTTATAAAGCTAGTCCTTTAATGGACATAAATCCCAAAGCAGATAAGTGGTTTTCTAAGAAAAGATTCTAGTTTAAAGGCAGTGATCAAAACAATTTATAAAGAGCTGGATTCTGTGCCAGAAACTATCATAAGCACTTCACATTTAATCTTCTCTGCTGTATAAGGCATATAATAGTCTCTCCATGTATAGAGAAGAAAACTAGCATCGTGGGAGATAAATCAACTGGCCCAAGGTTACAACGAGAGCAAAAAACCAGTAAAAGTTTAAATTCATATCTAAGTTATTTGCTATCAAAGCCTTGTGTAACGCATGTGTAAGCATGTGTGTTTTAAATAGGTGCTTTTAGAAGAAATCCAACAGAAGTCATGGTTGAATCCCCTGATCACATTTTCTACAGTAACATGGACAAGCTTCACTTTCTTTCAGTTATCTTTTTTCCTAAGACTTATACAAGTCAAATTATGGGTTTTCTTTGTTTAATAACTTTTTGACAAACTTTTCAAAAAACATTAGGATATAGGATATAGCTGAAAAGCAAAACATTATTTTGAAGTATAGGAATATATTGTCTATTCACATTTAAGGCATTTTATAAACTAAAGACAAACCTTTAAAATGTTTCAAGATAAAATATTTAAAAGCTTATACTATGAATAAAGAAAAATGTAATTATATACACTGAGAAGCCACAGCAAAAATAAAAGTGCAAGAAGTTATTTCAAATTTAAAAATACTAGAATTCAAGTTATGATTTAAATTTTCTTAAATATTTAACAGAAACCAATGTGAATTTTAAATCTTACCACATTCAGATCTACTCAATAGCATCTTTTTATAGTAAAAAACGTTATTCAATTAAAATGGGTAAGAACCTTGACTATTTGGTTTAATAAAATCCTGGTTGCTGGCCCTCCCTGGTAGCACAGCAGGTTAAAGCACAGCACAGAGAAGCTTGAGCCACTTCCACATGAGTTCGATCCCCGCCACATGGCGCGGCAGACCTCTCCTGACCTGCCCGCTGCTCCCCTCAGCAGTGTACTACTTCGATCTGCCTGTTCTGCACCCCACTCTGTCTCTGGTGAATCCTCTCACCTTCCGCATCTCTGGCCTGTACCCCAGTTCTGTACAATGTGGGTTCATCCTT